TTTTAAGAATGCAATGCTCATGTGTGTTGCATATGAACTTTTTTAAATTATAATAATTTGTAGTTTTTTTAAGCATCTTACAAATATCAAAACCTATGTTTTATTGTAGATCTGTAAACTGATGACTCAGTTGCATAGTGGAGGTCAGACCAAATACAAGTAATTAATTATCACAATACAAATTAAAACAATCAAGGATAATAATTCATATGTATGACAAATAAACAGTGATGCATAGATGTAAAATTCTAGAAATTTTTAGATGGGCCCAGACCAATAGTTCAACCTGCAAATTGGTTGATGAAGAGTGAAATCCTCTTCTTCAAATTAAAAAACAACACATACGTAATTTTCAGGAAACTATTGAAGTCTCATTCTTCAAATTATGTACCACAACCATACTGGTGAAAGTCAACCAAAACTAATTAAAATGTCCAACAAACATCTCCACTAAAATGTTTGGTTGTAATTCATATTCGTGATAATTATAATACCATTTTTTTATTGTTATTACTCTAAACAAGTAATTTATTAGACTTTTTAACAATAACCAAATTCTAGTTATTTTTCTGGATGCTAATACACATGGTATGTTTGTGTTTGATTTCTTTGTGAAAATTCAATTTTGTTGGTATCATAAATTCTGGATGAATTCACAAAAAAAAAATTATAATAGATATCAGTGGAAGAAAAATACCACAAAAAGTAGACATGCACCAAATGTTGAGATGTAGAGAGAATTGAATGCGCAGAGTAACACATGCTGAGAGGAGCAGAGAAAGACAGAGAGAAAGATGGGAACATCAAGGGTTTCTGCAAGAGGTAAAGAAGAGAGAGAAAGAGGTTTATTTGGAGTGATGGAAGATGAAGATGAAACGACAGTGGAGAGAGAGAAGATTGGGAGACATAGGTTTTTTTTATTTTTTTGGAACATGAGGAGGTTTAGATTTATTTTGACTTTAATGTTGAGGGGTAAGAATGAAATAGTTGTAATTTTAGAGAATAAAAGTGGAAAAAAAAAATACTTCAAATATGCTCACTTTTTAAAGTAGTATAGATATATTCGTTTAAGCTTTATATTTTGAACATAGGTTCAATTTGGATTGAAAACCCAAATTCCAATATGATTTTGGGCTTGATTTTTGTGGTTGTTAAACTAACATTCAAGTTGAACTCCAAGCTCATTAATTCGAATTATATCCTCAAAGTTTCAAACTCTAACTATAATACTTTTCAAATTTCAATCCAATTAAAAGTTTTAATCTAAAATTTGGACTTCTTTTCCCTTACTACATATTTTGGGTTAAGTCAGAATCGATATGCATAAAAGCACACATGAAACAAAAGCAATTTTGAGAATAGTTATGAACTTGTACATTTTGTCACATTAACTGACTAAAATTAGTAAGAGAAGCAAATAAATAGATAGATAAGAAACATAATCTATATAATAAAGAATAATACAATTCAAATTTCAAATCATAAACAAAATAATTTTTATTTTTTACAGTTGAGATCTCTTTAGATTTTATTTTAAAGTTAATCCGACAGCTAATATTAATAGTGCAAATTTAATAGGAAAAATAGGATCTTAAACGTGCGTTTGGGATGACGTTTTAAAAATGTTTCTACGACTTATAATTTTACATAAGTACTTTAAAAAAAGTATTGTTTGGAACCGTTCCACCACCCCCACCACCACCACCATCACCACTACCACCCCACCCCACCACCACAACTACCATCACCGCCACGGCCCCACCCCCACGACCATCACCATTATCACCGCCATTGCCACCCCACCACCACCATCGTCACCACCCCCACCGTCACCGCCCCACCACCATCGCCACTGTCGTCACCCCACTACCACCTTTGCCACAACCACCACCACAACTACTATCTCCACAGACCACTGATTACTACCATTGTCGTCAACTACCACCACCCACCATCATTGTCATTTCATTATTATATTTATTTTCACTACCACCATCATCCTAGTACCATTGTCACCCATCATCAGCACTCACCACCGTCATTGTTGCCCACCACCACTCGCTACCATAACCCACTGTCACCAGTCGTTGCCCACTATCACTCACCCCCATCACACCTACTACCACTGTCATTCGCCACTACCGATCACACAATTGTCCAGAAACACCCATTGTCACCCACCACCCATACCCACCACCACTAGCAGCATCACTCATGGCTACCACTATTACTATCGTCACCTAAAACCCACCACCAATATCACCGTTGCCACCACCGCGACAATCGTTGCCACCCAACACAACCATTACCGTTTTCCACCACTACCACTGCCACCCACCACAACTACCACTGCTCACCCCCCACCACAAGTGATACTTAAATTTCTTTTTCTCTCTTCCTATGTTTGTGATTTAATTTTAGATGTGAATATAAATATGTTTGTTGTGGATAATTTTTTTTGTTACTACGTGCCTTCAGTCACAAGCAATAACTAGTAATAAAATAAATGAAATGTGTAGCACTACATAGTGAAAGAAAAAGAGTTTATAAAAAATAGTGAAAATTGGGCTGAGTCATCCTTGATAGACTTATAATAATTTGAATTCGTCAAGGAAGCTTATTTGGTGATAAGTCTGTTTTTTTTATCTTACTAATAAGTACTTAAATCTACTAATTTTTTAAATCCTACAAATACTCTTAACAGTGCTATTCTATTCAATTTTAGAAACTTTAAAGACCTTAAAAGTAGCTTTAAATTAATTTCTTAAATTAGAAATTATTATCTCTTAATTCACTCCAAAATTAAAATTAAAATTAAAATTTATATTATTTCTCTCGTTAGAAGAAGATCATCACGCTAATACAACAAATCTTTCTCCTTAAATATAATTTCTTCATCTATAGCATCAAAATCAGTAGAATTTGGAACATCATCAACAACTACCATATCTTTTACTGCGTTCTGGTCATTATGAACTTCTATGTGGTTGATTTTTGGAAAAAAATGTTGAAAAAGTTGCTCAATGTATTATTAGTTTGATCCCTAATTTTATTTTTATATTTTTGATAAATAATCCCCAAATTTTTGTATTATTTCATGTTACTACGTTTTTAGTTAATCATGTTACTATTTTTTCGAATTGACTATGTTACTATTTTTTATTGAACATGTTATTATTTTTTTAGTGTTACTTTTTTGGATCTGATGAATTGGAGATTTCTTCCCCTGGTTATGAGTTTGAATGCTACTATTTCTTTTTTCAATTTTTTTCAATGTTTTATATTGCTATTTTTTTGTTAAGTATGTTACTGTTTTTATTAAGTATGTTATTATTTTTGTTAAGCATGTTACTATTGTTATTTTTTTAAATATTAATATTGAATGTTACTGTTTAAACGTTATTATTATTTTTTTGTGTTTACATGGTATTATTTTTTGGAGCAATGCTATATAGACTTAAAAACTAAACTTGATAATTAAAATCATTGATTTCACTGTGGGTTTCAGCATTTATTGGGACTCACTACCTATTTAATGGTTGAGATTATTAAGTCTAGTTTTTAAGTCCATCTAGCATTACTCTATTTTTTTAAGTCCATTTAGCATTACTCTATTTTTTGTGTTTAAAATGATAACTTTTTTTTATATATATTTGAATGTTACTATTTTTTATTTTTTAATATTATATATATATATATGAGAGATATAGTCTTAACCTATTTATGAATATAGATAGATATGAGAGATAAAAAATTTAATGTTAGTTATACTCCTAAATTTATGAGTTTTTAATTTTTAGTTTTATTTCACTTCTAAAGGGAAGAGATAGTCTGATAAAATTAACAGAAAAACGAATTTTATAACAAATAAATTTTTTTGTTGGATTAAAGTCCAAATAAATCCATAAAAAGGGATTGACCTCTAAATTTTCCTAAAAAATATCTTTAGTCTACCACAATATTTTGTTCCATGGGTGAAAAGTCCAATGGCCCAAAATATTGGAGCCCAAGAAGAGTAGAGGCTCCTCTGCAGTTAAGGTCTAATAGCAAACTTTGTTGTTAAATGGAACGGTGTCGTTTTGGCCAATACTCTAGAACCTAGAAAAGACACAAAACGACGTCATCCAATTTGTGCCCATTCTAGCCCGCTACGACGTCGTCTTCCACCTATGCAGAACAAAATGCAAAAATAGTACATACTGGCAACGAAGAACAGGTTGTGCAGCTTCGTTCGTCTTCCTCGTTGCAATCCTCGCTCAAATCAGAACTGTTTTGAGTAATCCATTGACCACGATCATCGCCGAGCAATCACTCCTCCAAATCGAAGCCCCAGCATCGATGTAAGTTTTGAAATTTGAGATTATTTTTGAGTAATCTTTCCCCAAAATTTTATTATATAACCTAAATTAGTGAATACATTCTTTGGTTCTTTCTCATTAAGGGGTCAGTGTAAATGCTATAGTTCTCTATGCTATGTTGATGTATTGATTTGCTGGCTGGCTAGTTATTATCTGATTTCCTCGTTACTTGGGCATTCTTTTTCTTTAATTTTTTTTATTTGGGATGTTGTGATTTTTTTTTCTCTCTATTTGTTAAGATATATTATCGGGGCTCTGAAGGCAACTTGTTGTTGAGGGATTTTAATTTAGGTCAGAGTTTGTTGGGTTTGTCATAAAGATAGATAAGTTGAAGTTATTTATATTGAAAAACGTTACTAAATTTGAACTATTTTCTAATTTATTTTTCTCTGTCCTCACCAATTGCTTATTGTTTCAAGGCAAGATAGTTGAGTTTGAATGACAAGTAGTAAAATTGTTATTTTGAGTCACTGTATTAAAGTTTATTTATCATTTGGAATTGTAGATTCAATATGCAGCCTGCTATTTCCTAAAGTTTCTTTTTTGCACATGAATTCCTTTGCAGGGATTTGAAATGGGTTTAAGCCAATTTGTGTAGAAGTTTAAGTTGGAGTGACATTTCATTGCTCAATGGAAGCATCAATGGATGTAACGCCATTCCCTGCATGGTCGTGGTCTGTGGAGCAGTGTTTGAAAGAGTACAAGGTGAAACTAGACAAGGGTCTAAGCTCTTATGATGTTGAGAAGAGGCGAGAGAGGTATGGTTGGAATGAGCTTAAGAAAGAAAAGGGAAAGCCCCTGTGGCGGCTTGTTCTAGAACAGTTTGATAATATGCTTGTCAAGATCCTCCTTATGGCAGCCTGCATATCATTCACTCTAGCTTACTTGCATGGAAATGAAAATGGGGAGGTCAGCTTTGAAGCCTATATGGAACCACTTGTGATTGTCTTGATTTTAGTCCTTAATGCCATTGTGGGAGTTTGGCAAAAGAGTAATGCTAAGAAGGCACTTGAAAGCCCTCAAGGAGGTGCAATGTGACTCGAGCAAGGTTGTAAGGGATGGATATCTTGTGCTAGATTTGCCAGCAAGAGAGCTCGTACCAGGGGATATTGTTGAATTATGGGTTGGTGACAAAGCCCGGCTGACAGCTTTCTACATGCAGTTAGTTGCTCTTGCCAAGACATGCACCAGGATGCTGCTGACATGTTGAATGAGGCTACTGGACTTGAAGAGAAGAAGCAAAAAGTTATGTCACTATTCACATTTCTGTTCATGTATGCTGCTTTTTCGGAGTCAACCAGTGCTTGTCTTCAGCTGCCTGTATTTGTTAGGTGGAGACTATTGTAGGATCAAAGGAGGCTTCCAGTGCTACAAGGCTTTCCAGATGGGCTAAGAGAATGATGCTTAGAGTAGCATAAAATGGCTTGAGTCCTTTTGAAGGATTAAAGTCATTTCCTTTGTTTAAACATTTAAACTCTTGTTCATTGATTCTTGTAATTTTTCCATTCTTTGGTTCTTGTAATCTCCTGAATTCATGGAATAACATTTCTATTTGTGAAACTAGTTTGATGTATTGGTGTATTGGTTGAAGATGGTTCGTGGCATGAGTGAATGTGTATTGGTTGGTTGAACATGGTGCTTTAGTGTATTGGTTGAAGATGGTTCAGGACATAAATGAATGTGTATTGGTTGTTTGGACATTGAGCATGGTACATAACAAAAATTGTATTTGTCCAAGATAACAACTACACATTGAACACCATGAATCATACATGGGTGAAATCAATTCCATAAAAAAATAAAAATAAGATCATGTACTCAGGTGTTTCCAAAGGGATGACAAATCTTCTGAAACAAGAAAATAGAAGATCTACCATCCCCATAGCAAAAGAATACATTGTAAGTTCACATTTCAAAAAGATCAAAAAGAAATTGTCAAGATCAAGCATAAATGGACTTCAAAACTCGAACAAAAATTTGAAGCACCATTCAGCATTGCAGTAACATCATTGCAAAAATCAGCACCAAAGACAACAAACCACAAGCAGTCAGCCCCCAATCATCTTTGCAACCAACAGCTCAGCCAAAAGATCATAACCAACTAGCAGTAACATTATTGTAAAAATCAACACCAAAGATAACAAACCACAAGCAGCTAGGCACATTTACAACTAACAAAAATTGCACTTGTCCAATATAACAACTATTCATTGTCCACCTTGATTCTCCTCATTAGAATAATCAATGACGTTGTCCAAGAAGCATGATTCAACATTTACCAGAGCATTTTGTGAACCAATTGATACTTAAGAATTTGATGCTTGAGAATGGATTTGAGTGCCTATAAGTTGATGCCCATGAGTAAGTAAATCCATTCATATGTGAATTTTGCTTATTCGATTGAGATACCTTCAAAACAAGCATTCAAAGACATAAGATAAAATTAAGAAAAAATAAGAATCCAAAATATCATAACCATAATGTTGGGGTTGTAATACTTTAGACATATAGGAAGTTTCAGTTTTCCTCTTCGTTGGCTTTTCATGCCAAGTCTTCAATCGACTCCAACCCTTGTAACCACCATCTTTTCTCTTCAAGCCAACTACTCGTAAAATGTTAGGGTCAATATTTTCTACTCTTTTAGCGAGAGAGAGAGAGAGATATTTTCTACTCCTTCATTACCATCATTATCCGCCTCAATATCAAGTGAGGCATACACCAAATCCACTTGTTTGAACAACTCATCAATACCGCGATTCACCAACTAGTGTGTAGGCTTAAGGTTAGAACAACGAGCTACTAAACATACCATTCTAGGAGATAACTGTCTATAACATGATGTTGCCATCAACTTGAGATCCTCCTCATTTAGTGTGGCACTAAAATAAGGACTTGACCACTTTTTTGCATCTTGCCTCCATCTCTGTATTATCTATTGGTCAAGAATTTTCTTAATGTTCATCGTGTCTTGCACTTTAAGTGCATGATCACATAATATCTCAATCATTTCAATTTTTGACAGCTACAAAAAAATGGTTTGCTCATTGACATTGATCAACATCATGTACTTTCTCTTTTCACCATACAATTCTACCACAAATTCATTACATCCATCGAACACATTATAAGGATTCACAATAACACATTGGAATATATCATATTCATCTTGAAATAAATCAAAACACAGGAGTATAACATTGCGCTACTTGCACCAACATAGGAGCTCTTTTCAACTTCATTCTAGGCAACTTTTGCCTAGCTTGATATTTATTCTCTATTTTCTTATATCTCTTATCATTTAAAACCCTGTCAAAATGAGTAAAAAAGTGAACAATATCATGGTTTTGCTTTAAGTGCTTTTGTAATGTTGAGTTCAAGCTCTTACTTAGCTGAGTGCTTCTCATACCAATTGTGAAAATTCACTTTATATACACATGTGCCTATTTTCTCTCTTAGTGCCCAAGTTGAATTCATCCAACTGTTATCATCCAAATCATACTCATTAAGCAACAATTTCCAAGCATCAGCTAACTCATGCTTTTCATCGTATCCATACATGCACTCTATAAATTGGGCTGAAAAATTTGAACCATCCTTATATATGTTCTCTAAATAAGGTGCCAACAACGTAATTAATGATATGTCTTTAGCATCACTATAGATATAGCTTTAACCATTTCTTATTTTGGTTAGTAAAAATGGTAACAGGCTTCTTCTCAGACATTGTTTGTAGGAATGTCTCAAACAACTACTGAAATGATGCTGCTGTTTCATCGTACAATAATGTAGCAGCAAATATCACTGTCTTCCTGAACTGGTTGAATCCAATCAAAATGCCTAAGGGTTGGTACTCCTTGTTTGTTCGAAAATGTTGTGTCAAATGTGACAACATCTCCAAAGTAGTCATAATCAATAATCATCTCTGGATTAGCTTAAAAAATATTTGTTATACACTCTTCGACATCCAATTGGACTCCATAATAAAATGATGGATTATTAGTTGCTTCTGCTTAGAAATATTGCAACAAACTACCCGCTTCACCGTATTTCAAGTCTTGTTGCCTCCTTTCTCGAATGTAATTTTTTTGGTATTGATGAGTGAACCCTAAACTTTCTTTCCCACCTGCTTGGGTACTCAAAAGCTTGTAAGACGCCTAAAGTGATATCCCGCAATCCTTAGCAATATCAATATCGATGTCTTGAGCTACAATAATTTTCTGTTGGAATGACATTATATGCATATATTCGGCAATGTGCAAAATGTGATTGTATTGGTCTTCCCATTTAACAACAACAAATTTTCCAATATCTCTCTTGAGGATATGCACATATGAAAGGGACAATTTGTTTGAGTTTCTGTCCGAGCCTTTGTTGTTTTCCAATCCCTTTGATCTTTAAGTAAATTGTACCTGTTTACAACAAACGTATTTCTGTAAATTAATACATCATCCTTCAAGCTCTTGTTGTGATAATCTTTTCTTACACTAAATCTCACAATTCTACCATAATTGTTATAGAACTTATAAGCATACTCTTCTGAGTCAAATTATATTCCCATATATGGAGTATTGTCTGCTTTATTAATCTCAACACATTTCATCTCTACTATAGATTAGGTCCCTTACAATAACCAAACAGTAACACAAATTAAACATAAGGTTAAAAACTGTCATTATAAATTTTCAATTACAAATGGAACAAGGAAATACTTATTTTTAATATTCCCAATCAACAAAAAAATCTTATGTATCAAGCCTATATAACTCAGTTTCACCAAAGCCTAAAACACTAATATCCATATATCAAATAATCAAATATATTAACAAAAACGTAGTAGAAAGAATGATGGTACTCTCATAATTATACGAAGATTCTATAGGAATTTTTTTAAAAAATATTTATGAATTTTATGAATTTAAATTTCATAAAAAATTATGAAAAAACTATCAATATTACTTAAGAGTGTGAAATCGTAGGAGACGAGGTTGAAGTGCCAATCAACCACTATAGAGAAACAAAAAGAGATAAGAGCAATAGACACTTGATAATTTTTGTTAGTTATTACAAGTTCTCTAAAGAGAGTTTTTAGGCAAGATTAGTTATTGATTTTGGAGGAAATGAGCAATCTGTTTTTGTATTTTGTTTTGCACAAGTAGAAGACGGTGGCAGATGACATCATAGCGGGCTGAAATGGACACAAATTAGACGACGTCGTTTTGTGTTTTTACTGGGTGCTGGAGTCTTGGTCAAAACGGCACCGTTTCACTCTTTGCTGTTGGACGTCCAACTGCTGGGCTCCACCCCTCTCATAAACCCTTCCTTCGGACAATCCCTAAACCTCTGTCTCTCTCAATGGCTTTAATCGCCCCTCCGGCGCTTCTCCTCCCTCTGAGCCTTCCTACTACCCTTCCGTCTCCGCACGAATTATTCCCCGCCACCGTTACCACCGCCACTCGGCGCCATTCAACCATTCGCCTCTCCGCCATTGTCAAATTTAACCGCTTCTCTCTCAAGCTCACTACCTCCCGGCACAAACTATCCCCCATCATCATCAGCACCGCCACCCGCCGCTATTCCACCATTCGCCTCTCCGCCTCCGTCAAACCCCACCGCGCTCCTCTCAATTTCACTAAATACCATCCCTTCCGGCAAAAGTTATCCCTCACCACCGCCACTCCCCTCTCCTCCCCCATCAAATCTCTTCTCTCCTCTCTCTCCTCACTGGACCATTATAAACTTCTCAAAAGTCCACCCTTCCCCAAACCCCTCCTCTCTCTTATTGAAACCCTAGCCCTCTCCGCCGCATCCGCCCTCATCATCCACTTAGCTTTCTCCTCTCCATCCGTCATCAACCGTATTGGAGGTGGAAATGGCGGTTCCGGCGGTGGAGGTGGCGGCAGTGGCGGAGGTGGTGGAGGAAACGGGAATTTCTGGTCTAGGATATTTTCTGCAGCGGCAATCGCAAAAGATGCCGACCCTTCTCAAGAATGGGACTCTCATGGCCTACCTGCCTCCATTGTCGTCCAGCTCAACAAGCTCAGTGGATTCAAGAAATACAAAGTCTCCGACATTCTCTTCTTCGATCGGCGACGCCGGGAAACCGTGGGCACCGAGGACTCTTTCTTCGAAATGGTAACGCTTCGATCCGGTGGTGTATATACCAAAGCCCAGCTACAAAAAGAGCTTGAAACTCTAGCCACTAGTGGGATGTTCGAAAAAGTCGATCTAGAGGGTAAAACAAACCCGGATGGTACAATTGGGATAACGATATCCTTCTTGGAGAGTACTTGGCAATCTGCAGATAGGTTTAGGTGTATTAATGTAGGTTTGATGCCACAATCCAAGCCAGTTGAAATGGATTCAGATATGACTGATAAGGAGATGTTGGAATATTTCAGGAGTCAAGAGAAGGATTATAAGCGTAGAATGGAGAGAGCAAGGGCCTGTTTATTGCCAATGCCAGTGCATAAGGAGGTTGTGCAAATGTTGAGAGAGGAAGGGAAGCTGAGTGCTCGGTTGTTACAGAAGATAAGGGACATGGTCCAGAAGGCATACCATGATTTGGGGTATGTCTGCGCTAATGTTGTGAATTTTGGGAATTTGAATACCAAGGAGGTGGTCTGTGAGGTGGTGGAAGGTGATATTACCCAATTACTGATTCAGTTTCAGGATAAGCTTGGGAACTTGTGTGAAGGGAATACTCAGCTTTCTGTGATCAAGAGAGAATTGCCCAAGCAGGTATTTCATTTTTGTTTTTGCATATAGGTTTCTGTTTAATGGAAATAGTCTTTGAAATTATCTGTAAAGGTTCAGTTGTTGCATATCTAGATATTACCATGTGTGGTTGGTTTTCTAGGTATCACTAATTTTCTACAATTGGATAAAAATGAAATCTATTATGTATGTTATTCAATTGTGAGGTTTGTTTGAATTTATGCTCTATGTTACCCTTTTTTGGAATATTCCAATTCACTTTTTGGTAGTGATTGATTGAAATATTGCTGATGCCGCCCATTCACTCCTGTATGGTTTGCTTTAACAGTCCTTAGAAGGAATTCATATGCAGGCTCCCTATAAAGTGAAACTTTCTAAGATTTTAGCTGCATTTGATCCTACACAAATAAATCTTATTTTGGGCTTTGGTTATGCTATCGGGAATTGTGAGCAATCTTTCAATCCAAATTTCCATATTTAATGCATGCCGAGGTGATGATACAATTTTCCTGATCGCCTACATGGTTACATAGAGTTAAACATGAGCTTATTTGAAATTGCCTCCCATAAATACATACGTAGCATATAATTTTTGGGTTTAAAGTTTCAGATTTTTTCGTGAGTATTTTGCTCTTATTCACTTGATTGTAAGGGTATCTTGCCCCTATTAATGCTGTAAATATTTATTTAGAACCAACCAAACCAATGGGATTATTATAGAAGCTATAGCATTTGCGTCGATATTTACAGGTGCCCGTTTTGTTTTGTTTCTTTGCCAAAAAATGTTTTCCTTCCTAATGCTTAATATTGGTTTCACAGTCTCTGCTTTGTGAATTTTCTTTTCTGCTTTGATCCTTTGATTGACTCTCAAATTTCTGTGTAGATCTTATAGGTTTTTGTTTTTATCTTATTATGTATGAACAGTGTTTTTTGATTTGATCTCTGACTGTGTTTATTGGCTTCACAGCTTCGGCCAGGGAATGTTTTCAACATTGAAGCAGGGAAACAAGCATTGAGAAACATTAACTCACTTGCCCTGTTTTCAAATATCGAAGTCAATCCACGACCAGACGAGAAGAATGAAGGGGGAATCATTGTAGAAATTAAACTTAAAGAACTGGAACAGAAGTCAGCTGAAGTTAGTACGGAGTGGACAATTGTTCCTGGACGTGGTGGTCGCCCTTCATTGGTATTTAAGTTTATAATTATTGACTTTATATTTCATCATTCCAATGTGAGTTTGAGGGTCTGATACTAAATGCCAATGTTGTTCAGGCTTCAATCCAGCCTGGTGGAACTGTTTCCTTTGAGCATCGGAATATCAAAGGCCTCAATAGGTCCATTCTTGGTTCAGTGACCTCTAGCAACTTACTCAATCCTCAGGTGATGTTATCTTGGCCTTAATTTAGCATACTCTTTTAGAAATGATCCTTTTTTCCATTCCTAAGTTTTGTTTCAGAACGATGCTTACGGGAAATATTTCTACAGGATGATCTCGCTTTTAAACTTGAGTATGTGCATCCATATTTTGATGGTGTATATAACCCTCGCAACCGGACTTTCCGTGCAAGCTGCTTTAATAGCAGAAAATTGAGTGCGGTCTTCACGGGTGGGCCTGGATTGGACGAAGTCCCCCCTATATGGGTTGATCGAGCTGGCTTGAAAGCCAATCTAACAGAGGTAGACTACATTGCCCTTTTTGTAATGCTTTTAGCCCAAGGAGTTGTTTTTTTATATGGTTCATGTCAGTTTTTTCTTTTGTATATACTGTTTCTGATTGTTATATGCCTTGCAGAATTTCACTCGTCAGAGCAAATTCACTTATGGACTAGTGATGGAAGAGATAACAGCACGTGATGAAAGCAGTCACATATCTGCTACTGGTCAACGGGTGTTGCCAAGTGGAGGAATCAGCGCAGATGGACCTCCAACAACACTCAGTGGCACTGGCATTGATCGAATGGTTTTTGCACAAGCAAATATCACACAAGATAACACCAAGTTTGTAAATGGAGCATTAGTTGGTGATAGGAATGTATTCCAGGTGAATCATAATGTCTCTTTTTTGATGATTTGAGTTGGATGTCCCAGTTTTTTTTAAATGTCTGAGTTGTGATTTGAATCCTTTAGTGAAAGCGTTCACAAATCTGTTTTGGACTATGCCCGCATTAAACATGAATTAATGTGTTAGCTGCTCGGTGTTTTTATCTACGTTGGTTCTTTTGCTCCTGTGCTTTCTGACTTTGGGATAACTTCCATGTGCATAATGTTCTTTCCCTTGAAACAAAATTACAGCAATCTGCAGAACAGATTGATTGCTTAATACCATGGACCTGATAGTCTCAGTTTCTGTTGATTTCTAGAGGAGTTCTGTCAGTGTGTTTTAGTTGTACTGGTTGTGTGTGGATGATATGTGTATATATTTAAATATTGTAAAGTTGTATAAAATTGCTGGTTTAAGGGGGCAGTAGATTTTTGTCTCCGTTAGAGAAGATTCTTTAGATTTTCGTCTGAGTTTTAGAAATATTTTTTTCCCCATTCTTTTGGGCTTTTTATTGTTGAGATATTTATATTGTCTTTCACTCTAACTGACCTTCATATGTAACTAGTAGCTTGATTACTTTCTAACATGCATCTGTTGTATATGAATTGCAGCTTGACCAAGGACTTGGCATCGGGAGTAAGAATCCGTTCTTTAACCGCCATCAGCTAACGTTGACCAGATTCATCCAGTTAAAACAAGTGGAGGAAGGTGCCAGTAAACCACCACCGCCTGTGCTAGTCCTTCATGGACATTATGGTGGTTATGTGGGAGATCTTCCTAGTTATGATGCATTTACACTAGGTGGACCATATTCAGTGAGGGGTTACAACATGGGAGAAATAGGTGCAGCCAGAAATATCCTTGAGGTACTAGGGATCGCTGGAATCTATTCTTGCCTCTTATCATTTTCATGTTATTTCATTCTAAATGGGAGAAAAAAAATCATATAGGTTAGGCTATTATAAGAGCTAATAAATGGTAGTTTAGGATGGTTCGTGGGGTAAAATATATGAGTATGATGAAATTCGTGGATTTAGGCCATTGCCTCGGGATAACCTGTATGTATTTTTGCTAGTCATTATTGTCAGATGGAAGTTTGGGAAATGAGTGATGTCTGGTTCTAATTCGATCTGCAGGTTGCTGCTGAGTTACGGATTCCTGTTAGAAGCACACATGCATATGCATTTGCAGAGCACGGGAATGATTTGGGGAGTTCAAAGGATGTCAAGGGAAATCCAACCAGCATCTACAGGCGAATGGGTCATGGTTCCTCATATGGTGTTGGGATCAAGCTAGGTCTAGTACGAGCGGAGTATGCAATGGATCATAATTCTGGGACGGGTGCCATCTTCTTCCGGTTTGGAGAGAGATTCTGAGGTGTCTTTAAAGTTTCGTGATTTTGCCTAATACATTCACTCGTTTGGTGACTGAAAAGATGTCCTGTATCCAACATGGATGTCAAGTCTTAAGAGTTGTTGTATAGATGATCTAAGCAGATAGATGATTTTGGTGAGCTTCATGTTTTACGTGGTTTATTCCATTCTTTTATTCATTGCTGTATAAAAGTCCTAGGAAGATTTGAGGAGTTGGATGAATCAAGGACGATGATATTCCTTTTTTTCTATGGGGTTTCTACCATATTGTTTTCCCGTTGCTAAATGGGAGGTTTCATATAATATTTTTTGCTCAATTATGAAAGTTTTTTTATGAAATATTATGTGCGCGTTGTTCTCTTTCTTTCTTTCTTTCTTTCTTATTTGTTGTGGACTTGTAGTGCTTGTCGCCTGCTTCATGGAATTGAGAACCCAGCTGAACTGGTTTTCTCTAGGAGTTTTGTTTTTCTATGTTCTTTTAGATGGCCTTGTTACGTTTGCCCACTACAGGGCTGGCTTGCCTCCTGTGAGCCTGGTGCTTTGTACAACTTTTGACTTTTTTTGATCTGACATGATAACAACTCGAATGAAATTACCGTAAGTGTCATCTAGTCGCACGTATCATCCGCCTCTATGGGGTTTTCCCTTGCCTATCAAAAAGAAAAAATTATAGGAAAGATGTCAAAGGAGCCTCGAGACATATTAGTAAGTTAAACAAGCGAAGCTACTTACCTTTTGGGCAGAACAGTTGGGTCTTTTATTTAGTTATTTAGCCACAAAAAGAGCAATATAAAATTGTAAATTTAGATAATAAAGTTGAAAATGGATAATTACACAAAACTTAAAACTAATTTTTTTTCAGATAAAGTATCAGTTATCTAACCATAACTAGTTGATAATGATTTTTTTTTCAGAATGTTTTAAATATTTAAGGCAGTACTTTAAGAGAGACTGAATGATTAGGAGTGTGAGTTTTTTTTTTTGGTGAATAAAAATAAATAAATTTTACAACTTATTTGAAAATTTTCTTGAATGATAATTTAATAAATGTTTGAAAATTATAACATAATAAAAAATGAATTTTTTTTTTTTTGGAATATCCAGATCTTAGTTACTTCCAAATATCCCAAGGTATACAAACACATGCATTAGAAATTGTGGCATACATTGTGTGTGTGTGTGTGTGCAAAATAAATTTCATTAAGAATAAGATACTAACAAATTTCTAAAAGTTTATCTTAATGAGTTCTTCCTTTTGTTTTATTAGTCGATAATTCACAAGACGATATGTGCACGTATATTACAGTAATCTGATGTAATATCAAATCGTCTGCTCTATATATTTCCAACAAAATCAATATAAACGAACACATTGAGCAAATGTAATAGTATTTTACTGCTTGAATAAATTGTTTCCAAGTTACAAATACATCAATGCTAAAGGTGGCAACATATTCACAAGCTAAAACTTTCAATTCAAGGCAATACATTAATGGCTTCCAACTTCAGAAACCTGTTGGGTTGGAAAATACTGTGTGTGTGTGTGACGCTTGTGTCCTCAGATAAGTCTTCTCCAAGAACAGGCTGAAGTGAAAGGTGTACTCAGAATAAGGAAATCTCCTCTAAACATGTCCAATCCTAGACTATGAAAAACCTAGAGTGTTACCGAACCACAAAAGCTCAATCATCCTCCAGCTCCAAACTTGAATGAACTAAGAAAATAGCTTTAACAGAGTACTCCTCGACAACTGAGATTATCATCTCATAGGCAAATTAGGTCCACCATTTCGCCTGTTAGCCTATGCATGAAAGATGCTTTGAAGACCTTAGAGTGAGTTGAGACTCCAATTTCCAATCATTTAAGATGTTAAAAGAGTCTTGCTTTCAGCATAATCTGCAACGTGACATTTATCCTTACAGACCCAGTTCCCTTTTCAACTGAGCAAGGGCAGCTTCAATCTCATCAAAATTGTCTTCAATGCTGCTTTCCTTTTTAGATTCATTTAGACTACCACTTCCTGCTCTGTTCGATTCGTAAGATGCACTTTCCTTTGCAGTTCCTTCATCACTGTTTTCTACTTCGACTCCTGCATCAGTTATGTTAAGCTCTTTCTCAAGAAACTCAACAAATTCTTCTCCAATCTCCTGCCAAGCACAAGTTTTCATCATAACGTAGATTTTCACACCTATCATTCTCATTTTACCCAAACAAAAAAATAAAATAAAAATTTTGGCAGTTAATTTATTAGTTCTCCATTCAAAACTTTGTCAAATGTATTATTATCTCACCGCCACTTCTTCCCACAGGCTCTTTGGTTTTCCTTGCGAAGTAGCACTTGCCTCCCAGTTCTGGAATTCTTCTTGGAGATCCCTAAAAAAATCTTCTGAACCACAAAATCCAACTTCAACAGCACAATATAGCATGCTTTACTTTAAAAAGTTAAAGATAAAAATGACTGACAAGGTTCAAAAACAATGCAATGTAGATTTATAGCCTTTGTGATGTCCCATGAAGAGGATATATCTACCTATTGTTATTTGGACATCTCTCATAAAATTACCTGCAACATAAACGGTTTAAGCATTAAGAACTTACCGAAGACAAAAAAATTTCCTGCAGCAATAGTGGTTAGGTCTCATTTTGGAGTATGCAAAAACTATTTAGTCTGAACATTGTACTAATTGTAATTTGAAACGAAAGATACTGTCTCAATTAAATGCCAGGAGCATTAGTTTGCCAACTATTAGTCTGAAAAAACAAAAAATTCCAACGAAGATGAATATTTCACATGGAGGAGTGCTCATCCGTTTGTTGGGTAAATAAAGAATTTGTTTGTCTTGTGAAAGAAGTCTCCCCCTCAAATTAAGTGTTTTATTTTATTTCTTTCTCTCCTCCTTTCGAGTGCAGAGAGTGAGTATATACATCAATTTGCTTTATATATACAGAAGAGCTACCACCTACATGATCTAGAAAACAAGCTTTTGAATGCTGTATTGTGAAATTATTAATGTAAACAGATAATGAATGATGTTGATGATGATAGCCAGCAAAATTAAAATGCATAAATCCAGTAGTAAAAAAATGATCTTCAGGAGCATATATGTTGTACCAAATCCATAAAATTCTTCGTCTTCAGAAGTGCTACTTTTGTTTCCGCCAGCAGTCGAATAGGAATAATCAGATGAACGAGTTCCAGAATCATATTTCCGTTGAGATTCAGCATTCAACAATGTATTATAAGCATGTTTTATCCTCATAAATTTCTCTTCAGCGTTGGCCTGCATCATAAGACATAATCTGGTCAAACTAGTAATAGAAGGCCAAGTCTCCACATAAAAAAAAATAAGCAATTTTTTTCCAAACGGTTTTAGCTAGGCATAATGTAAATTCAATTCAACTTCCATAATAGACAAGACATATTCCATTCTACTATTTATAATACATTAAAAAAAAACTATGCATGCATATAAGAAAGGGATTAATTACATTCGTGTCGTGTCACCTTGATATTGAGCACTGCTCAATCCTAAACTAGTCGTGTCAGATGACCTGTAATTAACCCAATCTATATTTTAATCATGTTGTGTTTGAGTTGAAACAGATAGCTCAGGAACTAAAAATGTTGTCTTAACTAAACTCACCACCCATAATCCCATAACATGAAAATTCATTTGATCCAAATGCTAGCAAAACAGAGTGAAAAACTGACACTCAAAGGATTCATACAATACTAGATTAAGAAACAAAAATAAAAACGTTTTCTTCATATAATGAATACCTGTAAACACATTTATTGAGTTACAATCGGGTTACTATTGTTTGAGACTAACCCGAACCATGTATTATTTCTGTTAGTGGGTTATATTATTTACAGACTCATGTCAAGTAATAGTGAATTTTAATCTGCTAATTTTGTGTTGCTTTCATGCCATGTCGAAAATTGTCAGCCTAGTACAATATCAGTGGTATGCCTAAACCTGTCAAAAATAACCACACAAGAAGAAAACAAGCTGCAGCATCCTAGCGAATCCCATTTTGAGGATTGATATGTAGGTTTCAGATATACTATTAAGGACAAGGGGATATTCTCATTTTACGGCTTCATGATGGAGGATCTACCACCTGAATTTGCCTACTATAAATTCTACTTTTCAGTCCACATGAATTTCAGTAGCTAAAATTAGTTGATTGGCCTCACATGTTGTACGAGGGAGGGGGAAAATGTTCTGAAATTTAAAACTCCATCTGATTCCTGTAAAAATTAGAGAAAAAAAGAACCTGAAAATTCAAGCATACTTTCGAAAATTTCTGAGTGAAAAGAAATGATAACTTCTTTTTGTGGAATTTAATATATTAGTTAGAGATATCAGGCTTTTGACAACAGTTTATCCTGGCCTCACAGTCAGGCGAGACAAAAACAGAAACTTCGCAAAATTTGCTGCTAGGATAATGGTTACAAGAAAAAAAGCCACAACCTAGGTGGAAGAAATGAGTTTGACTCAACAAAGAAATATGAGAACCTAAAAACTGCTTCTACTTTCCCATAAAAAAAGACAGACTTCACAAAAACTAAATATAGTTAGGTTATCATCATCTCCATGTGCTAATGGATCCACTGCAAAGGCATCGAACAATAGTAATATTGATTACATTGAAATGTTGCTTCACTATTCTCCATGGCTTTAAAAAAAGCCATAATTGACAGCAGAGCTGTCTCAGCAAGCACAGTTAGTTTATCTAGCAAGCAACAGCATACCATTGATTGCATAAACATAGTTTAGTTAAACTGGATTAATCTTGGTAGAAGTGAATTACCAACTTCAAGCCTTTAGTTTCTATATTATACAAACATATGAATTTGGATATTCAGTGAAACAACAAGTGTAATGTATACGCAAAAGATAGAGAAAAAAAAATCCTCACCATTAAGGAATAACAAACAAACCTAACAGACTTGGGTTCTACTTTTACCATACTGTTGAAAATTACTTATGCCCAAAAGCCTTTGACTGCTACTTTAAACATGCTAACAAAACCAATTTACACATAATTACAATAAAAATTCAAACATATTACTTTAAACAAATTAATTAATCAAAATTAGTTCAAAAAACCGCAAGATACCTCTTTATTGACATCAGGATGATACTTCAAAGCAAGTTTTCGATAAGCCCTCTTGATTTCATTAGGAGTTGCAGAGGGAGATACGCCTAACACTTCATAAGGAGACTCTCTCCTACTCGCTCTCACCAGGGTGTTATTGTAATTGGATCTTCTCTTCTTCTTCTGGTTTCTGTAACTGGGTGAAAAAGCCATGGGAGCCCACAAAAAAAGGTTGGAATTGGCTCCATAGCCGATTCTGCAGATGGGTATTAAAGATTGTGATTGGTTTTGGGTATTTAGAAAGCAGCGGTGAGTTATGGATCTTGAAGAAAGAAGAAGCGGAACGGAGAAGAGCTTGATTGGCGTTAGAACCGCAGCAAATCCATGCATATTCGTGAAGTCATAAGCCGTGTTTTTCACCAGACATTTTTGGATGGTGGCAATCTATAATCCACATTTATCGTGTTGTAAATCAACGGTCGGAGGTCATTGATCATGACCCAACGAATTTACCAAAATACCCATCTCGTCTTTTCATGTCCCTACATGTATATTACGTTCATTACGGATAAGAAACTAGTGCGAACCTGTTTGTATTTGGAAGTCGGTTGGGCCGTTCATGGCGGTGCATTTGGGGTGTCCTTTCATTGATTCAAACGTTTGTTACTTTCCTCAGAGTGCCAAGGGGCGCATTGAACTGCAAAAGCTCAGCAACGTAGTGATCTCTTCAGAGAATGTTGTTGAATCACAAAGGTTGAGCAATGCATGTAATGTGCTTGATAGAATGCCCGAACGAATTAGCTTCTCAACTCTGGAGTTCGATTGCAGTGAATGCATGGAAGAAGTTGAATTGGGTATTGGAGAAAGAAGATGTTTTGCAGATATTAATACTCCTGATGATTGTCTGGGAGGGTGCTGTGTGGATGGCGTGCCAGATTTGTGTTCTTCTGCAAGCAATGTGATCGATAGGCACCATGCGACCATTTTTCTGAGTTTCTGTAGTGGGGAAGGATGTCTTGAACTTGGCAAGATATGCCATGGCTTAGTCATAAAGAATGGACTGTGTGGCGACAAGTTTGTGTGTACCAGCCTTGTTAATATGTATGCAAAATGTAGTGTCATGGAAGATGCTGTGATGGTCTACCAACAGATGCCCTATTCAGATATTGCCTCACGTAATTGCTTGATATCAGGTTATGCAAGCAATGGGTTGTTCAATAAAGCTTTTGGTTTCTTCATTGAATCGGGGAATTTGGGTATCTGGCCAAACCACTACTCGTATTCAATCATGTTAACTGCTTGTGGAAATCTCCTAGCAATCCAAGAAGGGAAACAGTTCCATGCCCAACTAGTGAAAACACAGTATTTATCTAAAACAGCAGTAGCTAATGCGCTTCTGACAATGTATAGCAAGTGTGGGATGATGAAAGAGGCTGAAACTTTGTTTCAGAATATATCCCAAAAAAGTCTTGTATCTTGGTCTGCAATAATGTCCGGACTTTTCCAGCACAAGTCTTCAGAGAAGGCCTTGAGCCAATTCTACTTAATGAGGGACAATGGGATAGAACCAAATGAGCATACTTTTACTATTGCTCTTGCATCATGTGGAAGTATGAAGCATCTTGATTGTGGCCGTGCTCTTCATTGTCAAGTGATTAAAAGTGGAATGGTTTCAAGTGTGTTTGTGGGCACTACAGTGATAGACATGTATGCAGAACTTGGAGAAATGGGTTATGCAGAAACACAGCTTCAAGAAATGGGAGGAATGGCATCAAACGTTTCATGGAATGCACTAGTAGCAGGGTTTGTTCGCAACAAGAAGACCAAGGCGGCCCTAGAGGCTTTCCATAACATGGTTAAGGATGATACTGCATGTGATGAGTTCACCTATTCAGTTACTTTAACAGCTTGGTCTTTATTGCCGTCCTTGGCAACTTGCAAGCAGATCCATTCTCGGATAGTGAAAGCCAACTTTGGAGCAAACTTGCATGTCGGAAGTTCACTAGTAGAAGCTTATGCCAAGTGTGGTAATTTAAAGGATGCCAAGCAGGTTTTCCATAAGTTATCGATGCCTGATGTGGTTTTGTGGAATTCAATGATTAAAGCTCATTCACAATATGGTCATCCAAAGAAATCTATGTCCTTGTTCACAAAGATGATAAAAGAAAAGATAAAGCCAAATAGTTCTACTTTCCTTGCAATTCTTTCTGCTTGTAGTCATGCCGGATTAGTTCAAGAAGGCCAAGAGTTCTTTGAATATATGGTGAGAGAGTATAATATCCCACCAGAAGAGACTCACTATAGCTGCATGGTTGACTTACTGGGTAGATCAGGGCAACTGGAGAAAGCTTTGGATTTCGTAAACAATTTGCCAATCAAACCTACTGCTCCAGTTTGGAGACCATTACTTGCAGCTTGCAGATGTCATGGTAATCTTCAATTAGCAGAGTTGGTAGGCAAGCATATATTAGCATTAGACCCAAAAGACGCAACAGTTTATGTCACCCTTTCCAACATGTATGCTGAAGTAGGAAGACATTTTGATGCAGAAAGACAGAGAGTTAATGGAGCTGGAGGAGGTTACAAAGGAACCGGGATGCAGCTGGATTGAGGTTAAGAACAGAACATACAAATTCTTTTCGGGCGACAGAACACACACTGAAATGCCAAAGGTGTATGAGAAATTGAAGCAATTGATGAGACAGATTAGAGATGTCAAGTATGCTTCCAACTCAACACCTGTATTCAATGAAGGAAAGATTTTATACCACAGCGAAAAACTGGCAGTTTGCTTCGGCCTTATAAGCCTACCAGATGGAATTCCAATTCAAGTATTCAAGAATCTTCAAGTGTGCGTGGATTGTCATTCGACAATGAAACATATATCAAAAATTACAAAACGAGACATAATTCTGAGGGATAACTACAGGTTTCATCACTTCCAGCAGGGTAGATGTTCTTGTGGGGATTTTTGGTGATATTAATGTAATGGGTTGCTCCATAGACAGAATACTTGCTTTAGATGAGCTCATGCTAGTTATTTAGTAAAATGCTAACATAATGTAGAGTCATTTGGCTCTCATAAGCCAAATAAATATGGGTCTCACCAGAGAGAGCTTTGAATTGAAAGTGAACCAGATTAGACAAAGAACTTCCTTATTAAATGTGAAATAAGGATCTTCTCCACTGTTCAGTCGATTGAATTGTAATCCAAATCTAATTCGAGTTTGAATCCTATTAGTTGGATGTATATTAACATTTTTTCCCATTAGCCCAAATTTTCATAAACGGTTTTTGCACCAAAAAAAAAAATCCAACAATCAATAAAAAATGTTAAGATACACTCCTAATTTTTTAACATCGACCCAGCAATGAGATGCAAGACAAACACTCCCGTTCTTGGGATTCTCGCTTTTGTCATATAGATGGACCCATCGTAAAATGTTACTTCAATTTTTAATATATGCCTATACATTTACATGGGTAGGTAGGTTCATAATTCATACATGTATCGATAGACTCTCCTATTGAAATGTTGTATGTTTTTGTTGGCACGTTTTTGCCATGAGATCCTTTCTCATTCGGACAAATATATCTAGAACCCAGAATGGAGTCCTCATCAAGTACCGTTCTTTTCAATCATCATCCGATGCTTACACACAACTCATAGAATCGTATGCTCGTGATCGAGCCTTACAATCAGGCAGAGTCCTACATGCGCACCTGATCATCAGTGGATTAGCTCGTTTGACCCATTTTGCCTCCAAGCTCATAGCTTTCTACACCGGGTGTAGGCGGTTGTTTGATGCTCGAAAACTGTTCGACAAAATTCCCCAAACAAATATCCGCCGTTGGATCGTACTGATCGGGGTCTATGCCAGAAATGGCCTTCATGAGGAGGCAATGACTGTTTTCTGTGAAATGCAACAAGAAGGTTTAAAACCCAACAAGTTTGTTCTTCCCAGTGTTCTCAAAGCCTGTGCACACCTCTCTGATTTGCAAACTGGAGAGAAGATACATACTGTTGTTCTGAAATATGAATTTGAATCAGATGCTTTTATCATTAGCGCGTTAATAGATATGTACTCAAAATGCAGGCAAATTGAGAAGGCCAGGAGGGTTTTTGATGGGATGGTTGAAAAAGATTTGGTGGCACTGAATGCCATGGTTGCAGGGTATGTTCAACATGAGTTTGTCAAAACAGCATTGGGTCTGGTTGAGAAAATGCGATTAATCGGAGTGAAGCCTAATGTAGTGACATGGAATACATTAATCGCAGGTTTTTCGCAAGCAGGTGACGAAGTGATGGTTTCTGAAATTGTCAAATTGATGCGCATTGATGGAGTTGAACCTGATGTGGTATCATGGACTTCTGTTATATCTGGGTATGTGCAGAACTTCCATGGTGATGAAGCTTTTCGTACGTTTAAAGAAATGCTGGATCATGGATTGTATCCAAGTTCAGCAACAATTAGTAGTCTTTTGCCAGCTTGTGCAAGTGTAGCAGAATTGAAGCATGGGAAGGAGGTTCATGGCTATGCAATGGCAATTGGAGTCGAGGAGGATATTTTTGTAAGGAGTGCTCTTATTGACATGTATGCAAAATGTGGTTATCTATACGAAGCAAAGACACTGTTTCAGAAGATGTCTGAGAAGAACACGGTTACTTGGAACTCCATGATATTTGGATATGCAAATCATGGATACTGCAATGAGGCGATTGAACTTTTTAATCAAATGGTAACAAAAGAGGAAAAGAAATTGGACCACTTGACTTTCACTGCGGCTCTCACTGCTTGTAGCCATGCTGGGAAGATCGAACTTGGACAGAATTTGTTCCACTTGATGCAGGAAAACTATGGGATCAAACCAAGATTAGAGCATTATGCGTGCATGGTGGATCTTCTTGGTAAAGCAAACAAACTTGTTGAGGCATATGATTTGATTCAAGCGATGCCGATGGAGCCTGATTTATTTGTATGGGGAGCATTATTAGGGGCATGCAGGCATCATGGCAATATTGACCTTGCAGAAATAGCAACTAGGCAACTGTCTAAGCTTGAGCCTGAGAGTGCTGGAAGCAGTTTGTTGATGTCAAGTTTATATGCTGATGCTGGTAGTTGGAGAAATGTTGTGAGGGTGAAAAACATGATGAAGAAAAGGAGGTTGAGAAAATTTCCTGGCTGTAGTTGGATAGAGACCCCCTGAAACGTGATAATGCTATTAGAGAAGTACGTTGTGATTTTTGGGTTGCAATAATGAAGGCATCTTGGTACCTTATGGTTGATCTTCTTGACTCATGCTCTTCTCCAGTTTTTCTGCAGAGCTGCCATTCCATAGTTGCTGTTGGGTAAATCAGCATAATTATACATAATTTTAATTAATAAATTCATATCAATATCACATAAACAAACACAAAATAACAATGAACTTAAAATGAAATAAAATAGATACTATAAATTAGAAAGAGTTGACCTGCGAGTCTGAGAGTCGTGTGAACACTGTCCTAAAGCAGCTAAGCCTCCCCACGTGAGGGTACTGACGGACACCAACGACTTCAAGATCAAACTCAGACGCTCGCAGTAGCACCTCCTCAATGGTCACGCCCACTGGAAAAAAGTGGTGAACCTAACTCGAATTGAAGTTGCCCGAAGTAAACTAATACCAAATATTTGTAGATATGCAAATGTAATAATAGGCAAAAAGAAATATGTAGAAATAATAGCAACACTTGATGAAGGAGGAGTATATAGAAAAAATAGTATATCTACTCTTCTTCTATCCAAAACCACCACCTTATTTTGTAGGCACCGTCTTAATTACTCTTGAATAATAGGTTTTAAAATATATTAGTAAGTAACTTTCAAGCTATTAAGTTTATATCAATTTTATAATTAAATGACATGAACACGCAAGAATTAAATTGCAATGGTAAAGTTTAAAACTGAAAAATTAAAACAAAATAATTAGTTATATAGTTTGTAAAACTTTTATTCTAATTTATTCTAACAATTTTTCATAAGTTTTGAAAACTTCGAAATGACCCAAATATATTTATATAATAGATAGAAAATATGGGCAACTATTATACTGTGCAATGAGTGTAGGTGTCTTTCGGACTTGAACCTCACTTAGTGTTAATAATCTCCCCTTGAAGGATTATAGTGACCAAAGGCTTGAACTAGCCCCTTTGAGCCAGAGTTCAACTATCACACACACAGTACCGATATTGGTCAGGATTCGCAGGTCAGTGCTATTAATGACCATGCACTTAATCTTGATTCTCATGAGAGTTTATAGAAAATAGCACAATTCTCATAGTCGCGGCCTCACGACTACTCTCACTTAGGTGAGCCCTCCAAGGATACATGTGCACAATACCCTGCAGGAGTGTTTCTGTCTCGGTCTTATTCAGGACATAATCCTTCTTTACCGTCACACTACATATACACTTCTGCCATAGGGATGAGCATAAAAATATCTCATCTTAGGATATTTTCTCATCAATGGTGCTAATGAGTCACGCAATATGAATTGTTTCTACCCATTAAACTTCCTTCATGGGGTCCCAATCACAGAAGTTGGTTACTTCCCTAGGTGACTCCCTTGCGGGCTTAAACCTATCCCCTCGACAGTTCTTGAGATAGCTTTTTTCAAAAGCAAGGCTTTTCACGAAAGCTCACTGATCAAATTAATCAGCCTTTATATATATTTGTGTCTCACAGTTTTCCTCGAAAGCTTTTTAATTCATTTGTCAGCTCTATTTAGTTGAGTTTTCATAAATATTAGAATGATTACTCTTCACATGTTCATGTCTCGCTGGGTGTGCACACCTTCATATCTTCTCATTGATATTGATTTGACCTATCTTTCAAATAACACTCACGAACAACACATTAAAATGCATTTGTTTGAAAAACCCTTAGATATGAAAGTCCCCCACACACATATGAAACTCTTATAACAACATTAAGCAAATTCAGCAGGTACTTCATATATATTTTATTACCTTAAAATTTAACCCCCACATTTCCAAGAATTCTCATGCCTAATTGATTCGTGCTTCATAAAATTAGCATTTGCATCAGCCCCCACATTGCAAGAATTTCTTGGCCCCACGGTTGGCTTACATCACATATTGAACAAATTGAATTCAAGGAATGCTTCTAAAAATAAAATGAACTTAGTCTTGGAACAATTCTTATGTACAGTCTTTCTCATAAAACATTAAAACGTAAATCCAAACTATCTCCAAAGGTTACATAAAATATTAAAGCATCAATAAGAAATAAACCTTGACACTGAAGCTAATTGTATAAAGACATCACATTATTAACAAAACCATATGTCTCTTTCCGAAGTTTATCATGCATTTTGACATTCTTGGATTAATCCATATGGCATCTAAATCTTTATAATGGTATAAACTTTAATTGGATTAATGTCTCTATTATTGTCAAAATATTTTGACGAGTTTGGAAATAGTAAATCCTATACCAACATCCCCATTACAGCCCAATCATTCGCACCAAAAATAATTGTGTTGCAAGTATTAAAATCCATACCTATGAGAAGCTCCTTATAGGAATGACTCAATAACGTTAACTCAAGATACCATTTCAGTGTCAAATATCACCAATGACCAATCACGTACTAGATATATATAAAACTAAAATGCTAAATATATAGCTGTTTTTTTTTTTTAAATGATCACAAACTGCATAAGATCCCTCTAACTAATGTGATTTAGTTATCACATGTATATATGCTCATGCAATGAAGTTTGTGCCCAATAATTTCAAGCATAATATCTGTAGTAAAAGCGATGGTGTTCTACATTCACAGTAAAACTAAGGATAATCACCTATTGATCTGAGATTTAATATCTGAAATTTCAATCAGCAAATAACTATTAGGCCCCCACTAATTTTGAAATAATATTAGACGCATAGGCTACTTAAATTTAATGAGATGAATAAAACAGTTTGTATTGTAAGAAATCTAATGGTGGACTAATAGTCGAAAACCTTGAAGAAAGTTTATACCTCACAATTGATATTTACATGAATCATGTATATTAAAGTACTTAAATGAATATAATAAATAGATGCCAACCAACGACGGCTCATATGAAATTAACAGGCAAATAAACAATTACAACATAGAGCATCCTATAGAAATTGAGCTTTAAAATCAAATGACCGTTACTTTTCATTCAATATCTTGAATTATAGCTTCAAATAACCAATGACTGCTATGTAATATTTTGAAGGAATTATGCACAATGTGGACTTCATTGTTAAATTACTACATGAATTGCTCTCCCGATTCTTTCATTAGTAAATGGGTTCCAACCTATAAGACCATGCAAAACTCCAACTTGGGTTTTATCAGATCCAAGTAAACTATATTTCGACAGATCCAGAAATTTAAACAAATACTTTCCTTCAAATTTCTCTCGAATTCACAACCACAACTAAAATGTCAAAACAAAATCACCGACCATAGTCCATCAGTACCATTAGTAGGCCGTAGAATGTGGGAGGTGTCATACAATAACGAATAGTTATAGTAGCCTATAACCTTAACCATAATTACAGTAGTGATATCACAAACATATAACAGCCCACTAGTTAATTAAATTTTATTATAGAATGTTGTTATGGTCCAAAAATGTTAATGACAAAACTGATTTGGTAATCAAAGACTATACGGAAACAAATGTATTCCTTTATATTCATGTTCCACAGATGCATCATTTATATATGAGATGGCTTTGAATAAAATTTGAAATAATTATCCATAAAGTATGTCTTATAATTCTACTAGCCTCATATTTTTCTATGTCTACACTTGTTTTCTTTTATAGAAATTTAAGTTTCTGTTTGTCTAAATTTTTTTTAAAGCAAGTAGCTACTGACTATTTATCAGAAAACTATTTTTTTTTCCAGAATACTATTTTTCCAGAAAAATTCAGGAAGTAAAAAGAACTAGGTAATTCTTTGGATGATCTTGTTGAGCTCTTGCTCAGGTCCTAAATATCAAACCCTTGTCAGGGAATTGATGGAATCATTGCTCACACGCCTCAAAATTCAAGGTTATACTGGGGGGTTATGACGATACTATTAGAATATGAAAATAACTTCGGCATGTGATGTCAATATAAATGTGCTGCTTCATGGAAAGGAGAGGAGGTAAGGTTGCCTCGAATTTAGCAGTTATCAAGTGGATGAGACGCTGCAGTTGAGGAGTCTAGGCCATGTAGAAACAGGCCTGAGAATTTATGAGCTAGCTGGATGGCTCTGCTTGACATATGAATAAAAATGGAGAAGTACCAGAGTGGAAGAAGACTACTGATTGGCTTTGCTATAATTTCCCAGAAAGATTTCAAGAATGAGAATTTTATCATTTGAGTGGATTTTTGCAACTTTGGTTTGCAAAGTGTGAATGGAGTGTGTTTTAACCAATTATTGATCAATACGGTCGATAAAAAGAAAAAAAATGAGCTCAATTCTATCTTCTTTCTTTGGCGCTTACAACCCACCTTACCCAAATATTTATGTGCATCTTGCAACATACAAATCCTCAACAAGTGAACAGTGTAATGATCGGGGCTTGTATTATGTGATGCTTCCAGTATTATTAGTTTGTTTTTTTTTTCCAACCTTACAATTCTCATTTTCCACTTAATCCCTATCCACAAGTACTGTAGATGGCAAGCAAGAAAGATGACACTGATATCTCAGCTGCTTTAGATTGTTGGGTAAATTAGCATAATTACACATAATTTTAATTAATAAATTCATATCAATATCACATAAACAAACACAAAATAACAATTAACTTAAAATGAAATAAAATAGATACTACAAATTAGAAAGAGCTGGTCTGCGAGTCTGAGAGTCGTGTGAACACTGTCCTAAAGCAGCTGAGCTTCCCTGCATGAAGGTACTGACGGACACCAGCGACTCCAAGATCAAACCCAGATGCTCGCAGTAGCACCTCCTCAATGGTCACGCCCACTAAAAAGAAGGGGGAACCTAACTCGAATCGAAGTTGTCCGAAATAAACTAATACCAAATATTTGTAGGTATGCAAATGTAATAATAGACAAAAAGAAATATGTAGAAATAATAACAACACTTGATGGAAGAGGAGTATATAAAAAAAATGGTATATCTACCCTTTTTCTATCCAAAACCACCACCTTGTTTTATAGGCACCGTCTTAATTATTCTTGAATAATAGGTTTTAAAATATATTAGTACGTAACTTCCGAGCTATTAAATTTATATCAATTTTATAATTAAATGACATGAACATGCAAGAATTAAATTGCAATAGTAAAGTTTAAAACTGAAAAATTAAAACAATATAATTAGTTATGTAGTTTTTAAAACTTTTATTTTTATTTATTCTAACAGTTGCATCCCTTTGGATCTCTTGTCATCTGTCACTCAATTCTCCAATGTACCATTACAGACCTTGAACTTACGGCAATCCCAAATACGTGATGTTGTAGTTGATGTTTGGAACGGCTGGACATTTCAGCTGTGGAAGATTATATGCACTTGAGATATGCAATGAGTTGCAGGATCGGACATATCTGTTGTGGAAGATTATATGCACCCAAGAAATGTAATGAGTTGAAGGATCGTCGTAGATAGTTTTGGCTGTACATGCCTGACTGCCACTTTCTTAGTAGAAAGGGTCCGGATCACTGGGAACCATTTTACACGGCAAAGAAAACGCGCTGCAAATTATGGAAAATGGTAGAGCAACCCAATTCAAGATATAGGACTGATATTATGAATGGTTGTCCAAAGCATACACGAGGAGGAAAGAAGAGAAGGTGGTAGCAAGACAGTGATGCAAAGATGGTACTAGAAAGACTCTTCTCGGAGGATTTATGATCGGAACTATGGAAGACTAAAGAAACTCTGAATTGAACCAGGAAAAAGTCTGGAGGGAATCAATGAAGGGTTACCAATGGCACACTTAGTGCAAGATAGCAGATACAGTTTCTCTCTCATTCCCTCGTCTATGATGGAGAAAAGTTTTCAGATGGGTCATCAACACCCTACACTCTGCAGTAAGATTTATAGGCTATAGGTATATCAGTTTAAATGAAAAATGATTCAGCAGTGGTTGTCATTCAGATCGCAGGTACTACTTGGCGGCCGAACATTTATGGAGGAGGAGAAAGAATCCTGTTAGTGTTTCTGACAGGAACATGCCGATCCTCACTGCGGTTCAAAGAAATGTTTACAGCTTAAATTTCAGTATAGTTTTTTTAGCTGACCAAGGTTCGTTGTTTCTGTGTATTCATTGTCATCTCGGTCAATAGATTAGTGGGTCGTTCATGGTTTTGACTAAGGACCCATTCAATTTGGTTTAATTTGCCCGTTGTATCAACATGAACCTTTTTCACAACAGGGTCGCCCGCGGGTATCGTCTTTGGCAAACGTTTTTGTTATAAGAACTGTTTACTCTTTTGATAATCTTGAATATGAATCATAACAGAAGGCTTTCAACATTTTTTTTTTTGCATCCATGAAAGCTAGTTCTTTGTACCAATCTTTGAAAAAAGTTCCCAGGGACTCACTTGGAATCTTTAACCTGATCCTCATCGTTACCTTCAACCAAGGGATAGTTTTTAAATTCTCACACCAGTCACATTCCTTTACTTACATTCGAAAATAACCCTTAAAAATGATACGTACTTCTATCACTGGGGAGAACAACTTCCAACCCACCAACCAAAGAAAACAGCATAGCCCCTATAGAAGTCCTCACCGAAGTTCTATACCCCCCTTATGGAAATGGTAGTTTCTCATTCCAATCCTCATGTGTCTGCCAATCTTATGCAAAACTTGCTTTGTTGCTGAAAGAGTAACAAACGAGTTAGGAATATATACTTAACAGCTTGCTTTCCTATATACAAATTATCGATAATATTTCACTAACCACCCCCACGGCCCCACTATTATGTAATTGGGGAACAGACCTTAAGGGAGGATGGAAATGAATAAAACCAAAATGTAAAAATCGTTTATTTTAAATGCTTAGGTCACAAATGATAACGTCACAAAATACCAGAATTCAAGAACTGCTGACAACCTTTTTGCTAACTTCAATTTTGAACTATAGATTTGTTGCTAAAAAAAAGGTTCAATTCAGTCATTGCTACACCAGAACACACAATCTTAAACAATAAAAGAACGGGTCAGGCATATACTTAACAACTTGCAGTTGACAGGCCTGAATTCTTTCAACATAAACTTCCTTCCACTTGAATGCATCCCCGGAAAAATCTGGAACAGAAAGAAGTTTCATCTTTGTCTCTTTCTTAACTAATCCCAAATCGTACTGATATACACATCAAAGTGTCTCCAACGATTTCTTTAAAACTTCTCCCATGTCTGGCAGATCCAGAATTATCAAACAAGCTACACATTGGAAGTGGAGTCCTATAGTTAAAAGGTTTGAGAAATTCTCAAGCTCCTGAATCCATAGTAAAGCGGTAAAGCATAAAAATATGCAAATTGGAATTTTGATTCAATACTTCAAACGAGAAAAGCATAAAGTACTAAATCAGTGAAAAGCAAGTAGGAAAATTACGTTTTGTAATTAGAAGATCCCACGGTTAGACAAATCAATATGAAAAAAATCTATGCTAGTTTTTGTCACTACAAATATGCTGCATGATCTACATTTCATCCTCACTTTTTATACATGCAAACATGTTTCATATGATTGCTTGAGGGCACGTCTAGATGCCCCAAATTTTTACATGGCTCCATTGGGTGGGTTTACGTAGCAATTGATCATCTTTAAGATGTGGCCATCAAGAAATTTGAAGCCATAACCATACAGATTGTACAAAATCAGCCATACCATTTCATGAAATGCCACCATCTCATATACTTGCCTTCGTTAGAGATGATGCATCCCATTCTCTCTAGTGCGCCAATGAAGAATTTCTCATAATTAGATATGAACCATAATTGGGCAATTTAGTTTTGCCAAACCAAGCCTATCCTAAATTATGGCTGGTACCATTCTTACAATCACAAGAATGAGCATAAAAATAAGTAACTTCCACAGGAGAAATAGATGCAATGTTCCATGGAATGACAATTAGCAACAATAACCACTTCAAGTTCAAACATGCAAAGCCCGTGAATGTCTAACAAAAAGAGAGGCAATTTGGAATTATATAAATAAAGTAACCATGTATCTGATAGCATGAAGAAACACTGCAGCAGAAGCATGTTATTGTCAATACAAGAGAGATGGTTATAGAAAGCAACAGAATATAATTACTGCCCACTTGATAACAGTTAATGATCTATGATATCACAAGAAACTACAAGGAAACTCAATATGTTGAAAACCACTTACTTGTAAAAGAGAGCAGTAACAGGTCAGTGAACCAAAATTCACCCCTTTAGGATGATGATTCGTGGTGAGCAGATAGTAGGTCTGAAATATGAGAAATCTGATCCAAATTTGTCTTGCATAGTGCAATGACAAAAGTGTCGGACTAAGTTAACAATTATGTGATTGTGAATTCGAATCTACGGGCAGTCATTTTTGGGCCAGTAATGGCAAGTGTTAGACATGTACCCAATCCACTCCTCTCAATATCCGCAATTAACAGGGAACAACCTGAGTAACGAACCAATAGTCGGGTAGATAACACATAAGTTTAATGCTTAACAACCCTAAGAAATCAAAAGCTCAACTACCTAGTTGAAGAAATGTACAAATCCAACCCTTTACTCCCTTATCCTAAGAAATCGAATGTTTGTCACAATAAGAGGAATTTGAACTTCAGCAATTTTTTATCACTAACACTTAAACCATCGGTTCCCCCAGCCCCAATGAGGTGTTTCCCTTAATTCTATGCCTCATCACAACATCCTGGTGCATTACATTTTATAAGAAGCCAACCTTTCTCTCTACCAGTTGACTTTAAGCAATCATAGGCAAATCTTTTAACCAAGTCAAACCAGGACATTCAATAAAAATGAGCTTCATGTGATACTTGGCAATCAAAACTAGTTATTGATCTAAACCAAGCAAACAAAAACATGTAATTCCTTCAGAGAAGGTCCTAGTTCTGTTCAACCGAGTCATAGTTTTGAAGCAATAAGTCCAACATTAGTCTTGTATCATCAAATGTAAGCTCCTTTATTCACAACAAGGAAAATAAAATACAGCAGCATATACTAGATCGCAATAGAAATTAGTTATACGTTTGACAATCAAACAGAGTGAATTGTCTAAAGAAATCCTAGCTGTAATTCACCGAGTCACAAACCCGAAGCATAGAATCCAGTACCAACCCTGTATAACCATTAATAATCTGCAAAATTATCCCCGCAGACATAAAATGACATAGAATCGCAAAAGAAACCTCCAGTACATTACTCACCTCTCTGTTCGCTATCAACCTATCTCCGACAATCATTGATCATCATGAGTAACTCGGTGAAGCGACGGAACAAACCCAAAATTATTGCCAGACCAATCCCTCTGCTGCAACATATTATACGGATTATGATGCGACTCGAAACCCCCAGGCGCACCCAGATTCGCCATGGGCATTCCCATATGCCCGTGACCTTGATGACTCATCCCAAGCAGAGGCATAGGCATAGGCATCATCTGCGGTGGATACGGCATCGGAATCGGCATCCCCATATGCCCATTACCATTGCTATTACTGTTATGTTGTCCATGCTCACTCCCACCGGATTCATTTAAGCTCTGCGGCACCGGCGTGGACGCCAACAAATGATCCGATGACGACGGCCCCTGCATCCTTTTCAGGTATAGCCTATACTTCTGCAAATGACTAGCAACGTTCTCGCGAGTCAATCCCTCTACGTTCATCAACTGCATAATCGTTTTCGGCACCGCGGTTTTTATTCCTAAATGAGCCACCACGTCGACAAACCTTTTGTGTAGCTGCGGAGTCCAAACCAAACGAGGTCGCTTTAGAGTTCTCGCCGATGGGTCATCGGTGCAGTTCTCCGTCCGTAAAGCCGAGTCGGCTTCTTCTGCCCCTACACCGCCTTCGATTTTACGAAATTTTCTCAAATCCGAACCTTCTCGACTCAGATCCGTCTCGTCTCCTTCCACAACCATCGGGTCTATGGCTTTGTTTTCGTCGAAAGACTTGAAATTGAAGCTGTTCGATGAAGATAAAGCTTGAGATTGTCCCCGAATTCTAGACAGAGTGTTCTGCGAGGCTCGATTGACTTCGAGCACGCTCCGGCGGGGCTCCGGTGAAATACTAAACGCCGAGGCCAGCTGAGGCGGAATCAACGTCTGAGATAAAGGCGTTAGATCATCGGCGGTAGGAAGACCCACCTCCCACTCTGCCACTCGGTCCTCGTCTCCGCCACCGTCCTCGCCTCCATTGTCGGTGATTCTCACTTCTTCGCCCATATCAACAACTTCAGTTGATCAATCACACAATTTTAGGGCCTTTGGTTTCAAATTTAATGAAAAAAGTCGGAGAGAATTGAGGAGAGAGTGGGGGAGGGAGAAGACTGTTGGAAGATATTTCGGAAAGCTTCGAGAGGGAGAGAAGGGGGGAGAGAGAGAGAGAGAGAGAAGGGCAGTTTGGGCTTTGGATTTGGGCTGAAAAGGGCAACGAAGAGGGAATTAATAAGTAGAAAAAAGTAGAAAAGGTCAGAAAAAGTGCAAAGATCTGATTTCAGATGGGTTCTAATCCAGTCCTGGTGCCAACGTGGACGCCTTAGCTAGATATTTTTGATCCTCTAAATCTCTCTCCTCCTCCCACACTCGCTTCATGGAAGCTTGTTCTTTTAAACATTTAATCATTTAATATTTTTTTTTATTTTATTATTCTTATAACAAATAATTAAAAAAACTTAAAACAATATCTAAGATCGATAATTGATTTTTAAATTTTGAAATCTTTGTCTTACCTTAAAAGTCATTCAAAAAAAAACAGTTAATCATATTTTTTATTCTTACTAAAAAGATAAGCTTGACAATAACATAATCTTTTGATCGAGAATAATTTGAAATTTGTATATTATAATATTTAAAAATTTTATTGGGTGTGACGTGTGGTATTACCAATATTGAGACTTAGTATTAAGACATAATCTAAAAGACAAGTTGCATTACGATAATGTAGGTATTATAAGTTCGAAACTTAAAATCATATTTTTTGGAGATAAGATCATTTGAATGCAATTTTTTTTAAATTTTATATAATAAAGTACAATAGAATTCAAACCTTAAAAGATAAACAAAATAATTTTTGTTATTCGCGGTTGAAGTCTCTTTAAATTTTACTTTAAAGTTAATCTGATAGTTAATATTAACACTCCAAATTGAATATGAAAAATATGGCCTAAGGGTGTGTTTGAGTGACTTTTTAAAAGTATTTTCAATATTTA